ATCTTCTGGAAAAGATGCTTCTAGTTCGGCCAATGTTGCATCGCCTGTCACTTCGGGGTCTCCCTCTGAATTAGTTCATTCAAATCGATCCGTGTATGGAGTTTGGGAATTTTTCAACATAACAGTTCCTAGCGTATCTTTCGCCTCAGTTACCTACATGTTGATCGCCGTGACGATCCTTTTCGCTTTAGCAATCATGCATAAGGTACCGTATACATTTTATTTTGAGTGCTATTATCATTTTTTTTAACACGGAGGGTTTTATTGGGGAATGTATGCGAGGATATTGACGAACGGGATTCTACGTTTATACAAAGATCAATAGATGAATTATCGAATGGTATTTGAAAACTTTACCGTTTGATGAATGAATAATTCATTGTCTGATAATTATATATGTCGTGCTAAAAAGTTTTTGTGGCAGCATTTAGCATTTTTGTCATTTTTTTTTCTTTTCTGTGGACTAAAAAAAAAAAAATTTTTTTTTTTTTATTATAAGCATGGGGCCAAGCCCATTTGGAAACCAAGTTCCCAACATCTAAGCGAAAAATTTAGATTGTACATGGCTGGATCCATGGTAGGGGATGCTGCTCGGCGGATGTTTAATGGATGGACGAGGTCGCGACAAGATGGCATGGCGATTTCAAATAGGGACGAAAAAAATAGATCATTAGACATGTCATCATCATCTTCAATATCCTTGTCTCCTTCCGAGCCTGTGGATGATACAGCACCACGACTATATAAAAAGGCCTCGAATTCTCGTTTGTCATCTCATAGACGTCCGAATTCTCGTTTAAAGGCACAAACACTTTCACCAATAGATGATAATCCATCTACGGTTTCATCTAACGATGATCAACCGAACGATCAGTCCAATGAAACAGATGAGTCAAAAACAACAGTGACGATAAATGTTTCAGATCCTCGGTCGGAACAACCTATTCTTGTACCACATCAAGAGATTAATTGTGAAATTGAAGGTATTCCTTCAAATCAGCTTAATCAAAATTTTGATGATTCTCAGTCTAACAATCAAGAAATCAATTCGAGAAATGGGTCTTGTCAAAATTCGATGACAAACAATGATGGGACAAATAGTCGCGTAACCTTTGATGATTTAATCCCACCACCCATACCAACAACGAATGACATATCGGTACCATTGCATAAAAAAAATTCCAAATCACGATTGAAGGTACAACGGCCACAAAAAGATCAAACATTATTTGTTACAGCGCAGGAAAGTGAAGGAGAACTAATTCAGAGGGAGACCCCGAAGTGACAGGCGATGCAACATTGGCCGAACTAGAAGCATCTTTTCCAGAAGAT